AGCTCTTTTATTCTGCCATTCCGCACAACGGGAGAGTAATCTAGGGATGTTGTCCCTTACGCTCTGCCGGTGTTAATGGAATGGCTCAAGGGGGGGTGGATGTGAAGAACGGGAGAGAAAAAGAACAAGAGGGGAGGAGTCGAGAAAACGACAGTTTTACCTTCGACAGATTGGACCACCATCTCTTGTGTGCTGGAAAACGCGCCAAAGCATTGCAAAATGGTTGGGAACTGCGGCGGAGAAAGACAAAAGAATGAGTTTCGAAAAGAGCAAGGCGGAAAAGACAAGACTCCAAGAAAAAAAAACATAAGAAAACACATACCACAATCTCGAGAACTTCGTTGGGTTACATTGTTGTTTCGTCCAGGATGCACTCTCGTTCAGTCGAAATCTCTTGAGCTTTGTCCAAGAACTCAACTTTTGCCGTCGCACCAACGCGGCCGCTGCCTTGTCCCAGTGATGTTGACGGTGAGTTTCATTTTGCTTTTTTTTGTTTTTAACATTTGGCACCACCTCCCCGTTACAATTACTTGCTTGCACTTGCATTCTATGCGTGGCAATCTTGTACGCTTGGGGAGAAAAGCAAACAGCAGAGTTTCACAGGCAACATGTTGACAACCAATCGACATGCCGCAAAAACTCTGTTGACATTTTTTTTTTTTTTTCCTCCTTCCGTTGTTTTTGTTATTTTCTTGGTATATTGAACTTGTCTCTCATTTATCGTTGACGCTCTTTCCTTGATCTCTTTGTAGGCTTTCGATGGTTGGTTTTCTCGTCGCTGACAAGGTGTTCGACCCATTCGAAAGGTAAACGAGCGCACTTGAGCCATCTCCCAACCCTTGGTACATCCCTCCACCCCCCGACTTTTCATACAACACCACTCCTCGTAATCACACGGCGTTGGTGCATTTTTTTCGGTCGGGGCAAATCACCAAGGCCCGTATCAAAGATTGTGAAACGCTTCCAAGGTCGTTAACGATCGCAACCCGGTGCCTACATTTGTTTGATACAGATTTTCGTCCTCATCCAAGAAACCTTACAAGGCCAATTCCTGCCATCCACAAGGAATGATGATCATTGTGAGTCCAGATCGGCAGGTCGCACTCCTTCCGCTTCCTTTCCTGCTCCCTTTGTCGAAGACGCTCCGTATTGCCTGTTTCCTAGTGGCACGGATTTCGTTTTGGCGTTCAAGCGAAGGGAAGAATACGTCGATCGAAGCAAACTCGTTTTGTTGCAGGGAGTTTCCTTGACTCTGATCAACCCTTCCCTCCGTTCTTTGATCAACATGCTGTTGTCCGGCCTCTGCTTTTGTTCCTCTTCTCTATTCGTCCGACTTTTCGATCGCTGCTCATTTTCTTTTGTATCTATCGTGCTCTAGATTTCGTTTCACTGCCCTGTTTCCGCTGTCACCCCAGCCTTTGCCTTTCCCCCCTCCATTTGTATAAAGCACTTATTCTCGACCAAACGAATCCATTTCATACATTCAATGCACTTGGCGTTTGGTATTCAGAGTGAAAGCACAACATTTCCTTGCACCTTTCAGACTGCTGGTTGCGCTTGCTGCCGCTGCTCTGAAGCCAATCGTCGCACTTCTTCCTGCAAGGCGACCAAGTCTTTTGTATAGTGATATTGGAGCTGGCTGTCAGTGTAGCGATGCTCTTGAGCGTGCGGGGCAGTGATTGCGTTTCGAACATCAATCCACCGCTGTGGCGAGCTCAAATGCTGCATCGCAATCGCCATCGCTTCAGCTGCAGCTCCCTCTAGCTCGGGCACTGGATTGGGGACTGGCTGCTGCTGCTGCTCGGTCGCCTCGAAGGGCACGTCCAGAGAAATGGCCGCTCGGAACGCCACCCACGGACCAAACTGCTGATGAATGCTTAGTACTGTTGTTGGATGGTAATACGTGGCTCCCGATACCGAGCCCAGCAATTGAAGGTCGACAAAGTTGGGATGTCCAGAGAAATCGTATCTGTTCGTGTAAGAAGAGCTCGTTCATGAGTTCGACCAGAAAGCGAACCAGTGTGCTGCAACTTTGAGCTGCCTGTACCGGACACGGGACGATGGTCTGTTGGGCCCAAGGCTGGACAGAGCTTCATCGATGACCTGCTTGGTGTACTGTTGGACTGGATTCGCGAACGGCGCGTTGTGGAAATCGCGCTCAACCAAGTAACTCAGGAACGGATTCCACATGGCCTTGGTGTTCCCGACCAGGACGCCCAATGTCGCTGTGCGTCCAAAGGTTTCCATCAGTCTGTCTGACGGCAGTGGAGCCGTTGGATTCTGGCTGGCATGCTTTTCTTGCACGGCAGTGTTGTACCTGGGCAGATTGAATCAGAACATTGAACTCACTCGGCGTTTGGTCAACTGGCACGGGTACGTTGCTTCTGCCATCCATCGCGAGACGCAAACCTCTGCACTTGGAAGGCTTGGATGAGATCAAAGCCATGAGTGCGCAGACTGGCGGCCAACTCTTGGACCAGGCCGACTGAATTCATTTGGTTGTGAAAGTTGGACTGAGCGGCTACACGTCGATCGTCCAGCACTTGGTGGAAACGCGTTGTCGGAATGAAGTTACAGGAGTATCAAGTGCGAACGGAAAGAGAGGAGAGGGGGAGGGAGGAGAATGATCCAACTGAAATTATTGAAATTATTCTTTCAAACAGATCCACATGCAACCTCGAGCCTCAATCAATGTCAGAGGGAGCTGGGTAGAAGGAATGCATGCGTGCGGTACATCCGGTTGACCACAGCCATGCGCTGGCCAACTTGCTGCTCGTCGAATGATTCAATTTCGCGCAGATCCGCGGCAAACTCTGGCGAGTTGATTTCATCTGCCCACGAGTGCAACAGATGCAACGAGACGATAATACTGCCCTCGTCTTCAAACGGAATCACGCCATCTGGCATGTTGCTGCGGTTGAGGTGGATTTCCACTTGCCTAAAAGCCAAAAAAAAAAAAGAAAAAAACATTAGCCATGCTCCATCCACCTTGGAATCAAAACCTGCTTGCACACACGATCGTACCGAAGGTGTTTGCGAATCTCCTTGTTGACAAAGCGACGGGGAAGCCCTGCGCGGCGCAGGAGGGAATTTTTGATTTTGATGTAGCCGAGTCGCACAAGCGCAAATGTTGGGACGGCCGTGAGCACTTGAAAGTTCAACTCGTTCGACTTCATGAGCTTGTCGATCGACGTCATTGCTGTTTCTAAATCCACCTTGGTCCGTTGCACCTGGATGAGGGCCGTGCGGACCAGATTTCCTGCAGTGAGACATGGAGAGTGAGCAATCGAAGGAAAAAAAAAAATTCACCATCCTGATAGCTTTACCAAAAACGAGACTCTTGTACGGCGTTCGGATGTTGTTTTCATACTCCCGCATGACAACCGAGAGATCGCCTTCACGGGCGTTTTGACCAAGCCGACTGAGCGCTTCTTGGTCGATGAGCAACTGGTCTGCAGCGAAATCTTGCACCATGCGCTCGAGCGAGTCGAGGTCGTTTTGCAGCGACTTGGTGCTAATCAAGGCCATCTGGTTTTCGTCGTAGCGCACCGTTTCGTAGATGCGCTGGACTGGCCGCCACAACCAGTCAGTGGCAAAGCGGACGGCCGTTTCTTTCGCCTCCAAAGCCCAGCGGAAGAAGTCTTCTCGCCGCGCGTGCCACGTGCGCATCCCCGCAAAAGCGGCCACGGTGCCAACTGCGGTGGGAATCCAATAGCGCAGAAGCACGCTGGGCATCCCGTGTGTCACCAGTGTGGCATGCGCTCGCGCGCGGTACCCTTCAGCGAGCTTTGGCAGGTTGATGATGGCATCCACCAAATCGCCGTATGTCATGTCAGCGGCCTTTTGTCGCTGTTCTGTATGTCCGTCCGTCAGCGCATCCGTGAGAAGGGCTGCAAAGTCCGTGCAGAAGCGACCGAGCAGTGTGCACAAGGCGCGCTGCTCCTGCGAGAATGCACGCTGGTGTGGGCTGCTTTCGGGAGCAGAACGAGTCTCGTGATCGAGGCTACCGGCTGCCTTGCTCAGAGGTGTATGAGAATTCGACGCGGATGCCGCTCCCGCAGGACTAGGACTAGCGGTGCCATAATCACTTCCCATTCGCTCGATTTGAGAGCGCGTCGCCATTGGGACAGACGGCCCAAAAGCACAATGTGCTCTCGCTTCGTTTGGTGAATGACGGCATGGTGTTGGTGAAGCTTGTAGAATGGGGACAACAGCAGCTCGTGCACAATCCGCGCAAACGTCCAGTTGCGCCGCAACGTGCGACCAAAGCCAAAAATCGTGGCAGGAAGCACTTGGGCGTAATAAAACCAGGGGTTTGCCTGCTTGTCATTCCAGTAGTCGACATGGCGCTCGAGGGGCAGGGTGAATGCGAGGGCGCTCTTGAAAATGGACTCCCAGAGCAGCGTGCACGTCTTTGCTGCGGCGAGCAAGATGGTGATGCGCAACCGCATGTCCTGCACGTCGTCGTGGCTTTGATTGAGTGGCATGGGTCCGATGACGCGCTGGGTGAGACAGGGCGCGTTGGCGTCGATCGAAGCGGTGAGGAGCTCAATCACCGCTTGAACGGAAGCGTTGGAAGCAATCTGGTCGTCCTCGGCAGATCCCGCGTTCGGCGCAGACAATCGAGCAACAGCCTCAATCAGCCGTTGTAGCTGTGGAGAATCGCCAACCGCATCGAGGTCACTTGGCGATGGGATGGTCGCCGTGCCGGCAGGGGACGAGGTGGACGAGGACGAAGCGGACGGCGGCAACGTGGAAGATGCTGAGGCCAACGACGATGACGGCCCTGGCAATGAGGATGACGATGCTTGCAGCCAGAGTGACGGCGCGAACGATCCCGGCGATGACGGCAGTGTCTTGAGCGAGGCTGCCTCGACGTGGTGCGCCTCCGACTCGGACGATGAGCCAGACGCCAATGACGACGATAAACCAGACGGCAACGCTGACGATGAGCCTGAGGAGGAGGACGCCCCTGCGTTGGACAGCGTGCTTCCATGCTGGACGATTGCGCGCACAATCGACGTGAGCGACGTGAGCGACGTGAGCGACTCGGACAAGGACGTCAACGCCGACGAGACGGCAGACCCAGCAGCAGCAACAGGACGACGATGGGCAGCAGCACCCTGCGCAACTGGCTGAGCTGGGTGAGCTGTGACGGAGGGCGACGAGGAGGACGAGGACGTGGACGTGGACGACTTGGGCGCTGAGAGAGCATCAGCCGCATCAGCAGCAGCAGCATCACGGTGAGCATGGTGCACTGTGGCAATGTGATGGGCTGCGGCGCGTGCTAGTCCGATCGACTGCAGCGCTGTGATGTGCTTGAGCATGCGCCGCGAACGCGCTTCAATGGCATCGCTCATTGTTTGGATCAGCAAACAAACAAGCAAAACGACTGAGAAAACCTGTCAAGTCCGATTTTGGTTTTTGTTTTTGGTTTTGTTTTTTGTATTTTGTTTTGATTGAATGCAATGGTTTGCCAGCCCTGACTCGTGCTGTTGGGACGACTTGTATCACTGTTGCTGTGTCTGCCATCTGCTCGCTCCCTTCATACCACTCTGTTCTGCAAATCCAGACGACGTCCATTGTTTTTAACACTTGTCGTTCGGAATCTGGCATTTCATGACGTTGATCTGCTTTTCCTATCCAGTCTGAGCACTTCTCAGTCTTTTTTTGTCTTCCCTTTGCACTTTCCCCCCCCCCCTCTCTCTCTCTCTCTCTCTTCTTCCTTCGTGTCCCTCCAATCAAACTCATTCGAACGCCAACCCGAGCAGCAATGAACCTCGGACCGAACAATCCGCACCGCAACGGACTTCTCTTTGCAGGCTTCAACCAAGATCAAAGTAAACCCTTCTCTCTCTCTCTCTCTTCCTCAGCAGCGTTTACCCCCGTTTCTAACAAGTGCTCCATCAGCAACCCCCTCAGCGACGCTTGGACCGGGGGGACGCGTTGGAGTGGAGCAGTGGCTTGTTTGGCTGTCCCTCTCTCTCTCTCTCTCTCTCTGTCCTCTCTCTCTCTCTTACGCTGTCTCTGCCCGTTCCCTGCTCCACCCTCTTCCATGCTTCTAGTCTTTGCCCCCTTTTCTGGCTATGAGTGCGGCTTGGAACCCCCCCCCCTTCCCCCTTCCCCCTCTGCCCTCCGTCATGAGGGGCATCAGCTGGACAGCGTCATCAAATGCTTCTTTGTTTTTGTTTCGTTATTACCGACCTTTCACATACGGAATACTCACTCGCTACTGCCTATCTTTTGCTACTCCTGAGCTCTTACTAACTCTCCTTTTTTTGCCCTATTTCTCCTCTTCTCCGCCCTCACGTCGTTTTTGTCTGCTGCCTTTCCTTCTTTCTTTGTGTGTGTGTGTGTGTCTTATCGTGCACAGGCTGCTTTGCCATTGGCATGGAAAATGGCTTCCGCATCTTCAATGCAGATCCACTCAAGGAAAAGTCGCGTCGCGGTGAGTGTGAAACGCGTCCAGACCAGATATGACTCGCTGCAGCTCATTCATGCATTTGGGTGTGTGTCTGGTGTGTGTGTGTGCGCGTGTGTGTGTGTGTGTCTGGTGTGGCTGTTGTCATCGGTGGAACGGCAACGCTAACAGACTTTCAGGACGGCGGCATTGCATACGTCGAAATGCTCTTCCGATGCAACTACCTCGCTCTCGTCGGCGGAGGCAAGACCCCCAAGTTTGCTGCCAACAAGGGTACGACGCTTTTTGCGATTGACCTGGTTTTCGCCAATCTTGTGCATTTTTTTGCCGGCGACGATCGATTTTTTGATGGCAGTTTCACTGATCGCCGCTGAGTTTGCATGGGGTAGTCATGATCTGGGACGACTTGAAGAACAAGTGTGTCATCGAGCTCGAGTTTCGCAGTGAAGTCAAGGCGGTCAAGCTACGAAGAGATCGGTATGCGTTGGACAATGTTCTCGTGGGGGGTTCAAAATGCGTGGGAATGGTTTTCCCTCTCACCTCTCTCTCTCTCTCTCTCTCTCTCGCGTTGCCTTCTGTAGCATTGTGGTCGTTCTCGAAAACAAAATTTTCGTGTACACGTTTACACAGTCGCCACAGCGCCTGCATGTGTTTGAGACTGCAGATAATCCCCGAGGCTTGTGTGCACTCTGCCCCAGCAGTACGAATGCCATTCTCGCATTCCCTGGCATGCAGCCAGGTCAAGTACAGGTCGTTGATCTGGCCAACTCCTCCAAGCCGGTGGTGCTGCTGACGGCCCACGAGACTGCTCTCAGCTGCATTGCTTTGAACGACCAAGGCACCAAGCTGGCAACCACCTCCGAAAAGGTGCGTTGTTGCTCGTGGTTTGTTGTTTTTGCAATGTTGATCGTCAGTCACGCCGAATGCGAGCGATGGGATGTACCCTTGTTCTGACTTTTTGGGATTTTTTTTTTTTTTTTTGTTTTGGTTTTTTTTTTCATGGTTTTTTGCATCCTACCAGGGAACACTTGTCCGCGTGTTTGACCTCGTACACAACCGTCGCACCATGCAGCTCCGACGAGGCGCCGACAAGGCTGTGATTTATTGGTAAGGTGGATTTTCACTCACTCTTTTCTCTTTTTGCCTGGATCTCTTTGCTCTGTGGCTTACATTGCATTTCGTTTTACATTGGCCCTTGTCCAGCATTAATTTCAATCCAGACTCCACCATGCTCTGTTTGTCCAGTGACAAAGGCACCGTGCATGTCTTCCATGTTGCTGACAACATTGAAAACAGCAAGAACAAGCAGTCAAGGTGAGCAAGCATTTCTGGTTCTTGTGGCACATGCCTGTGCCACTTTGCTCACCGTCTTTCGTCCCTCGCTCCCTCCCCCCACCATTGCTTCCTCCTCCAACTACATTTCCTGTCCTTGTGCAGTTTGGCTTCTGCCAAAGAGTTCTTGCCAAATTATTTCAGCTCGTCGTGGAGCTTTGCAAAATTTGCCGTGCCAGAATCCAAATGTATTTGTGCCTTCAGCAGCAACGATAATGTGATTGGTACGTCGTTTTGAGCAGCGATGATGGACAACCTTTGCGGCAAGCGCGTTGACTCTTTTTGTTTCGCCGATCGTGTTCTTTTTCAGCTGTTTGTGCAGATGGCAGCGCTTTCAAGTTTTCCTTCAATATCAATACTGGCGAGACCAAGCAGGAGAGCTACAAGCACTTTTTGCAAATGGCCGATGATGCATGATTTGTCCACAAATACATGTAGTTTTTGCTTTTAGCTTGAGTCATGCAAGACTATTCCAATACGAAACCCGTTCAGAGAATAGATTGAATGACTTTGAGTGCAAGGGCACATGTAGAATATGAGGGAAAGCAGACAGTGTTTTTGAAGCGTGAGCACGTACCTGTCCCACTGTTGGGCGCCGCCAATTGTAATACCTTGCAGAGGGCTCGCCAAACGAGGTTCAGCGCCCGAATTTTTGTGTGATTTCGATTGATTTTACAGGCCAACAACAATAGCAATGCAAAATCAAAGTTGCAAATATTGCTCCCATGTGGTATGCGGTCAAATGGTTGGACAGCGAGGCATCTGGGGGCGTGTTCTTTGCATTGCTCTGTTGCCGAGGGCCGCAATTCAGGTGTTGTGAGGTTCTTTGGCCCCCTCACTCCTATTTATTGCTAAGAAACATATTTCTCATGGAACGAGCAATGTCCGGGGATGCATAGCTCGACTGCTGTTTCGCACCATAGCATGCGACTGATGCATTTGGCGGTTGGCCATCCATTGTTCCACCCGCTCCTGACAGCGGTGCCGGTCTCAGCAAACTGCTCTGCCAAACTGGCCCTTGTCCAACTTTTTCGCAAAAGAAGCGACATAGCGACAATTTGAGCTGGCACGCGCAAGAAGGGGCAGCCACAGCAGCAATTCCACCCCGCGCTGTTTTCAACGCTTCCCAAGAAATCAATGCAAATGAGATACTATAATTTAAAAATTGCAAATCTTCAACGCACTCATGAACCAACGGGTAACATTGAGCGAGGGGGAAAATGAGAGTCAAACCTCAAAAAGGTGAGCAGGTGTTGCCGAGATAGGACCAAAAAGGGCGTACTATCGACGCTCTTGCCCGGGCTGCCACGCTTCTGGCTCAAATTCTGAGCCAGAAGAGCCTTCTGGTTGTGTTTCTGATGATGCAGGAGCTCCCTTGGCGTTTTGGGCATTGGACTTGTGCTGCCAGGTTCCGACTTGAAAGTTATCGCCAGAGCGCGATGGCGACTCTGACTCCTTGGCTCGGAACAGTGGCGCAGCAGCATGCGAGAGACCTGTGCACATAGGTCGACCAGTGAAGGGCAACAACGGACTGTGAGTTGATTTCACAGCAGTAAACGAAGGGTGAATGAATACTTGCCTCCAATAGCCAAGCCACCAGACGTGGGTGCAGCACCTCCTGCAACACGAACGGGGTTCAACAAAAGTTCACACAAACACCAGAATGGGATGAGTATGACAATCCCGATGATCAAAAACAAAAACAAAAACCAACCTTTCGCAACCACTCACCTTCGGCATCCTGTAACGCGCCCGAAAGGACAAAATCGTCGCAAATCCCACATCACACACACACACACACACACACACACACACACACACACACACAAAGCCACACGGTGAGTCTCAATAACAACATCCATGCAGCTGTCAAATGGTTCCTTGTTCGGCGTTTGTTTCGCTTCTGAGACAATCGTTTGCCGTTGTCATTTCTCGCTGACCTTCAATTGCAAGTCCATGACCCGGCGCGCGAGTGTTTCTCGGCGAGCTCGATCTGCAAGGAGCTCGTCGTGTGTTGGTGCAGCAATACGGCGGCGACGCAGCCACGACTCCCACTGCACGGGCACTGTGTCCGACTCGAACTGGAAGGCCTTGATCTTCATGTCGACGAGCCGCCTGGTCTGCGTGCGGCCTTGCTCATACAGCTCGTAGTACTCGTTGCCGTCGAGATCCGTCCCAGCCAGCACCTTGCGCAGCCCAGGCGTCTTGTCCAGGCTGCGGTGCATGGCTGCAGACATGTCGGCAGCGAACGTCTCCGACCCCGCGTCCGGTGCAAGTTGTTGCATGTCGGCAGCAGATGTCGTCGGCTGGGCACTGTGCGGTGCGTTCGTCGAAGGACCACCCACGGCGGCGGCTGCGGCAGTGGCGGCTGAGGCAGGGCCTTGTGGCAGGATGTCGGCTGCGCTCTTCAATGCACCGCCAGTCACCGCTGCAACAAGTCGTCTCAACATGGTGGTGAAGGTGCGTGCGTGTAGGAAGAAAAAGAAAAAAAACAAACAAAGACTGGCCCATTCGTCGACTAGATCAGTACAAGCAGGAAACATTCAGCACCAACCAAGCTCAAGTCGGCTCTTCAAAACTAGATCTACATGTACAAGGTTCACATAAAATTCAACAACAAAACAATAACCCATCCCTGAACGAACCATAGTGGAGCGCGTAGTACCAAGCCCCCGGGGGCCAAGACAACGAAAAACAACGAAAAACAACTCAATGCCTTTACTTGTCCCGGGGCTTTTGGTGGACAAACCTCAGAAACCCATAGGCCAGAGTGCGGAAGCCAACCACCAGAATAACCAATGCATACACGGACTGGGCGAAAGTGGCATCCGTGAGGGCAAACGACTCAAGCGCAGCCTTGCCGTTCGGAATGGGGCAAGAGGCCGATCCATTTTGTCCCAGATTGACCTCAGACGAGAGAAACACTGGGTCCACGACAGAGGTAGAAACGTTCGCACACGTAAAGTTCATGCCGGAAAACTCGGTGATGGAGAGTGCCTCGAATCCCAGACGAATGTAACTGACATGCGCAAACCACGAAACGCCCGCCCAAATGGTATCCAAATTGATGAGGAAGCCAGAGGACAGGATGAACAAGGTGAAGACCAGGTTGGCAGCAAAGCACGCCGCTTGGAAGACTGGGAAGGCAGCGGCCATCACCATTGCGAGAGACCGGGAGCAGTACACGACCAGAAACAGCACGCTGCCAAAGATAAAGAAGGAGGCAGCGTCCGATTTGAGGTTGGCCATAAAGTAAATCGGGATGAGGTACACGACAGAAAAGAAAACGTTGAATGGCAGCTCGGCAAGCACTTTGGCCAGATAGTATGGCAGCAGGTCGTACATGCCGTCCTGGCGCTCGTTGTAAAACGACGCCCGCTCGCTGTCAAACTTGGCGATGGTGTCGAGAATCACCATGAACGGGAAGAGCGAGCACGCAATGTAAAACAGACCAAACCGGTCGCGCACAGAAATCTGGTCGTCGCCCAACTTGTAAAAGATGCAGCCGAGGAGGAAGGCCATGAAAAGCGTGCTCACAAGCTCGCCCGCTAGCTGACCGGTACCTTGCAAAATGTTGCGGCTCGCACGCAAGTACAGAATGTACATTTGTCGCGCTCGTGAAATCCGTTGTCGTGGCTTACTGACAGCCAGGACGGGGCCATCGTTAATAGCCATGACGCTGTTCAGCTCGCCGCTCTGGCCCGCACGAGCGCCATGCTTCCAGTTTTCCAGTTCGTTGGGATCGACCGCGGCGAAGAAGTCTCTGCTGCGCTCCTCGAAGGCTTTTGACAGTGACAGGACGCGCTGCATTGATTCCTTTTCGGCGTCATGCGTTCTGTAGTCTACCGTCGCCAAGTCCACTACCAAATGAACAAATGATCGACAAGTGAGCAAAGAAAGCAGATCGAATGACTGACAGACGCAGACAAGCAAACAAACAAACGAACAAACATAACAAACATAACAAAACAAACAAATCCAATCTTACGTGAAAAGTCACACGGATTGCTAAACTTGGGACACTCGTGGCCTTGAGCTTTGAACCAAGACACCATGTGCTTGGAGGGACCACAATACATGGTACGTCCCTTCGAAAGCAGGAGAATGCGATCGAACAAGTCGAACACGTCCGATCGAGGCTGGTGGATGGTGAAGAGAACGGTGCGGTTGGCTGCGGCCAGTTGCGACAACACCGAGACAATGTTTGCGGCAGAGAATGAATCCAGGCCGGTCGTCGGCTCGTCGAGGATGAGCAAATCTGATCAGCCGTGGGACATTGTCTGAGCGTGCAGCAACCAACGCAACAAAACAAGCGTGCAAACAACACAAAACAAACAAACAAACAAACAAACAAATGAAAGGTTCGGCAGAGGACTCACAAGGATCCGTCAGCAGTTGCACTGCAATGGACACTCGACGACGCTCTCCTCCAGACACACCGCGAATGTGCCCGCCACCGATGCGCGTGTTGCTGACAGAGCGGAGGCCCAGCTCGGCAATGACGCTCGTCACACGCGCCATCCTTTGCTCATGAGACATGCTTGGAGGCAAGCGCAACAGCGCCACATACATCAGCGTCTCGTGCACGGTCAAATTGGGGAGAAGGCGATCGTCCTGAACAACATAGCCGGCGACGTCTCGCATCGCCGCTGCAGTCATTGGTCGGTCGTTCAGCAGCACTTGGCCTTCGATGCGTCCGTCCTTGGGCGATCGACACGCCAGCACGTCCAGCAGACTCGTCTTGCCCGAACCTGCAACACGGGAACAAGAAAAACGGAACACAAAAAATAGAAGCGCGAATTCAAAGTCAAGTGAACGAGCAAAACTCCAACAGCACGGGCAGTAACACAGCCACCAGCAGCAAAAAGCTCAACAGCACCAAAAATGACACTGACCCGAGCTTCCGAGAATGGCGAGAACCTGACCAGCCTTGACGGTCAGTGAAATGTCATTCAGGATTGTAATTTCGTCGGCTGGTCTTGCCGTCGGCGCTTCAAGCAAGCGCTGCTGGTCCGAGCTGCCCTGAGATGGTTCATTGGTGGCAGCACTCGTATCCGCCGTGGATGCCTTCTTTGGCTTGAGGAAGGCCGGGATGAGCGACTTCGGCTGCGGTCTTGGCACATGGAAGGAGAGGTTCCGGATGACGAGCGACTGTGCGACGACGCCGCCGTGAGCGTGAGCGTGAGCAGCAAGATGCTGCCCAGAGGTAGTCGGCACCTGTCGCAGGTCTGCACGGTGGTCTGACGCCGGTGCTACGACAGCGGCTGGCGAGGTCTGCCAGGAGCGCTCTTGCCGTGCTGCAACGAGCTGGTCGTGGAGCGACTGGTGGTGGCCCTTGACATCCATGCTTCAGGCGAACGAAGATGGACGGAGATGATCTAAGTTGGCGAGGGAGAAAGGGTGAGGGTTAGAGTCGAAGTGAGTTGAAGTTTGGATTGGTTTACAATTGGGATTTCGTACTGTGCAACTGGACAAGGACGAGTGACTTCATGATTCGCTTAGTACACAGCGACTCCATACAGGGATATGACAAACCAGCTGCCAACCATTCTTAGCCAAGCAACGATGCCCTTGAGAAAGAGGTCAAGATCAATTTTTCCGCTAAAAATTCAATGCGAATTTTCGAATGCACCGCAAACACACACAGAGCAATACGCAAAACAAAAGAACGCGTGACTCAACCACGAGCCTACACTCGCTCGTAGATGATCATAAACTTGGTTGCGATCGTAGACAACAAACTCGCGGTGCTTCATGAGGTATGCATCCTGGTTGTTTGCTTGCTTTTCGCCAATCACGCTGTCGTAGCGAGAGTGGGTGCACGGCTGAGTAGAGTCACAGAGCTCCAAGCATGGAGGACGACGGCCATCGAGCGCAGACAGGGCCACAAATGGCGTGCCGAGGCAGACGCGCGACAGGAACATGAAGCGCTTCTCGCCCATTCCAACGCAGTAGGCATCACTCTTTGTCGCATTCTCTGCAAAGTAAATGCCGCCGCCAAACAGACCGTAGTCGGACGAGAGTCGTTCGTCAAGTCCATTGTGCTTGATGCTGTCAGCGTACTGGACGTCTGTTCCGTGGAACAAGACCTTTTCGTTAATGTCACTTTCCAAAGCCAGCTCTTGCATGAAATCCGAGTGCAGCTTGCGGTCTGCCTCGGGCAGATAGTGCATGGACGACGGGTTGCGCATTGAAAGCATCTCTTCGTCCACGCCCTCCCGCATGCGAATGTACCGTCGCTCGGCCTCCTCAATCTCTTCGCGCTGTCGCCGGGTCAGATTCTCAGGCCGGCTCGGGGCGGAATCGTTGGCAGCATAGCCGAGCCAACCGACGTCAGTGCTCCACGCCTGCCCCTTTGTAGCCGTTTTCCACGCAAAGTGGTCCCGCAAGCACAGGTTTTCCGTCGTGACCTCGAACTTTTCGCGAAGTTGTTGCAACCGATGCAGCTGAGCTAGTGTTGCGTTCATCTGCAATCCCGTGCCATGATGGCAGTAACACAAGGAAACGCAAAAACAAGCAAATTGAGAAATCGGACAGTATTCAACAACAGACCAAGACTCTCTCTCTTTAAAGCAATCCAAAAAAAGCAATCCAAAAGAAGCAATCCAAAAAAAAAGCAATCCAAATAAAGCAATGAAGTACCTTGTCTCGAGCAGCCTCTGGATTGCCATTGAAATCCTTGACCACTCGTGCCAGCTTCTTGTCAATCTCACCCAACTCGCTGTTCTTGGTCTCAAAGTGCGACACAAAGCGAGAGCGAATCATGTGCTTGGCATGCGCGTACGAGCGCCACAAGTACGGGTTTTCAATTCGGAAAACCTTCTTGACGACAAAGCCCGAGTACCGAGCATTCGACGTCACGTCCTGCGGCATGTACTTTGCAATGGACGTGCGACTCATCAGCAACTGAAAGACAGCCACCTTGGTCGCATCCAGCTCCACCTCGCGAAGGGCCATTCCCGTCAGCTGTGAGATGGGCGTGGTGTCGGGTGTCCCAATATTCCGGGGCACGGTGCGATCGACGCGCGAAACCCAATAGCGGGGAGACGCGGCCATTGTGCCACGCATTCGACCGTCCGACTGAAGACCGTAGCAGAGCACGATAAAGTCAAACACCATCGTGCGACACACGGGGCATTCGCCCGCCCGCTCGGAACAGGGCCGGCACGCGACAAAGTGGCCGCACGGCGAAAAGATGCACTCGCGTTCCGCATTCAAGCACTTGATGCACACACCAAGCAAATCAAACTCTTCCTCCTTTGCGTTCCGGCGCAGCGGCGTGGACTTGACCATGACTGTTTCGGAGCGGACTTGCGTTGTTGCCACTGCGGCGGTCGATTCTGAAGCAACGGGAGCGTGTGTGCCGGGTGCGCCTGGGGATGGAGAGGCCGGGACTATGTCTACCACGTACTCGTTGACGACTTGACGTTCGTCAATGCGATCCATGTCGGCTTCTTCTTGTTCTTCTTGCGATTCATTGGCAGCGGCTTTGCGCAGCGCGGTCTGCTGCTCCATCGACCAGAAGCCCTCCACACCGAGCCAGGTGTAATGAATGCGCAGTTGGTTGCCGTTCTCAAAGCTGCAGTGGCAAGCAGGGCACGTTAGCGAACGCCAAGCGTCGTGGTCAGGGTGAGTCTCCTCGGTCGTGAGCTTGCGGTGCCGAACGTGGAATCCTGGGTTTGCTGCCAATCGCCCCTTGAAGACACGCTTGAGATGATGGAACAGGAGGCTGCGGCACGAGAAGACGCGACCACAGCGCGGATAGCAGCACTTGTTGCGGTCGAGCGTCCGGGTGCTGGTGAGCATGGGCCAGCCCATGTGCTTCATTTGCTCTTCAGCGTCCTGTTCCTTCAGCAAACGAGCCTCTTCTGACTGAAAACCAAGAATTCCGAGGGTTGCCACCGACGACACAGTCTGCTGCGGCACGGGGATGGTGCGTGTTGCCTTTGCCTCGACGGCCACTTTGCCCATTCCTTTGCCTGGAGCGGCGCTCGTTGCGGCCGCCTTGGCCTTTACAGTCGTCGATGAGCTGTGCTTGGATTGCGCGGATGATGCATTGGGCTTGGAGGTTGCGGATGACGTGACGGACGACGACGACGACTTTTGAACAATCGGCCGGGTCACGAGCGGTGGCACTTTGATGGCATTCCAGGCGTCTGCAGTCAAATTCTGAGCCTCCCACACAGGTACGGCCGCAACAAGATAGTCGAGGTATCGGCCAATGTGGTTTCGCACAGCAAGATCGTCAGTGACGGGTGAATCCATGGCCAAGTACTTCCACAGCTTCTCCATGCAGTCGACGCCCTTCACGGCGACACACGTTCGCTTGACGGCATCCCGCTGTGCTTTCGGGAGGCTACCCGCGCAACTAAGAGAGGGTGGGTGCGTGGGGGTTGAGAGTAAGTGGGAGGTAGGAGTGGGTGGGGACGTCACGTTCCTGCAGCAATCTCCACGCCGTTCGACGAGAGTGCAACTTACCGACTATAGATAACATCGAGTTCCGAAGGGGTTGCTCCGGCCACAAAAAAGCTCAGTCTAGCGCACCGGAAGACGGAAGACGTTGGAAGAGCAACAATCAAGATTTTTGGCAACATGTGAGCAAGTGCAGTGCAAATTCACACACCATGAACACTGCTTGCGAATGGGGATGAACGTACTCGTAGAGCAGCCGCATGATCATGGTGCGGTTCTGATTGAACATGTGTCGCATGCGATCGAGCGAGGTGGCAGTGTCGCGCATGTTTGCGGTCTTGGCCATCATTTGCACCATGAGCCGGCGGACGAATGATTCACGCAGCGTCGACCACGGAATTCCAACTAGCGAAGCAGAAATAAGAACCTCTTCAATGTCTGGCCACTCCTTCTACAGCGGAACAAATGTTGCGACGGGGTCAGAAACTCGACAAGAGATAGCCCGGCCAAACATTTTTACAAAATACGGGACGGCCGCACGCGAATGCAAAGCTCTCTTACACGGCTTTTTGCAGTGAAAGGATTTTGGATCCATTGGAGAACAGATCGGAAGAGGTACGAGTACACTCCGCTGTAGCGCACAACCAGCTTGATTGCCATTTGGTGAACAAGCAAGTACACCCGAAGGGCTTGGTCAAATCGATCCGAATCCGCCTCGTTCTTGTCGCTCAGCATGCTGGCCACAGTAGCTTTCAGGATTTTGGGAATGCAGCGCTTGACAGCATCGGCAATCATGTCGTCGCGCGTGACGGGGTAGACGCACTTGTCAAAGGCATCAGCATCGCGGTGCACAAGAAGAGCCAGTTGGGCCTCCACGTTGTCCGGAAACACCTTGCGACCGTGAAACTCTTCAATGTAGAAGGACAAACGATTGGTGATCATCTTGCGCTCATACCGCTGGGCTGTGCCAATACTCTTGCCCTTCGCCACGTAGTACGCCATATTGAGCGCGTTAAACTGGCGATCCATATCAACCACACCGCGCTGATCGTACGGCAGAATGCCCTTGGCGGGATTTCCAATGGCGCCGTCGTTGAATGCATCAATATCAAACACGGGGCCGACAATAACGTCCAAGGAGCCGACCCTTGTGTCAATTGACGGAGCAGAGGCTGAAGCAAAAGGCTTGATGTTGGCTGGAGGCGGTGCCTGCACAGACGGATAGACCTATCGTTGAAAGAGTTGAGTTGGTTTTGCAGGCCGGGCGGAGTTGGTCGTTTCGACTGCGGCCTTCGAGCACAAAACTCCCTTCCCTCCTTCACAGATAACAAAGCCTCAGCCACGTACATGAAACAACTCCTCGGTGGAGTCAATATCATCGTCCGCAAGCGCCGTGCTGGTGATTGGGCGGGAAGCCTGAACAGCCCGTGCAGCACTATCGCGTTGCTGCACGAATCGGCTCGTTTCCGCTTGGCGTTCCCTTTCTTCATCTGACAGGAAGCGTGGCGCGTGGTACAAACCGACGCCAATGATGGACTTTGACCCGAGCCAGCGTTTTCTACAGCAAAGAGGGGGGGGGGAAGGCATTTTCAGCGTTGGCCAAGAGACGCAAACTCCCAAGCAAAATCACAAAATCACAGGATTGGATGTCTCTCTTCTTACCCAGTCACACTGCACGTCAGCCAACGGCTTTGCTCAAGCCAGCACTCCAACTCGTCGTCCGTGAGAGGCACCTCGCGTGCCTGCCAACGCTTGCGCCGTCCCGATCCAGCAAAGTGCTCATAGCGCATCTTTTCGAGCTGTTCTTCGTTCAGCGGCTTGGACTCTGCAATAAATCCCTTCGGCAGCATTGGTCCCGTGTTGGCAACCTTCCTTGGTGCGATTGTCCTCGGATCGACCGCCGCGGCGGCAGTACTCGTCGAGATTGGAGACGTCGAGGAAATCTTGTTGTTGTCCTCGGTTTCGGCTGCCACAGCAGTGCTCGTGCTCGGTCCAACTGCGTCCGGCGTTGCTACTGGAGCACTTGGCACCTCTGCCGCGACCGACGCCTGATTCCCTGAGACTGAATCGACCAAAGCGGCAATTGCTGCGGAATCTGAAACCGCGGCCGCAGCAGCAGCAGCAGACGCAACGGAGCCCGCCCCAGAGCCGGCAGCGACGGCCAGAACGAGCTGCAGCCGGCGCAGATCTGGCTGGCCTTCGACGCGAACTGCACAGCTGAGGAGGTCTGCGACGGACGTTGTGGTCGGCAGCAAATCACAAAAGTCGCCCTCGTCGTCCTGGAACTTGATGGTCGGCAGGCATCCTGGCGGCAGGGCGTCCTGGAAGACCTCGCAGCAGTGCTTGACGATTCCAGCATGGGTCATTTCGGCGACTTCCGACGCTGCGATGACGGAGCGGCGGAAGGACCCGTCGAGCTGGATTTTGAGCTGGAGGCGAAACCCGTCGCCATTGTCGTCCTTTGTGAGCATTATTTCAGAAGGAGACAAATTTAAACACGAGTGAGCTTTTGTGCTACTTTCATCATTGACAATGCAATAAATGGCCTCAAGTTGAAGAAAGCTCGACATGACGCAACCGTCATCCAGAGTTGCCAACTCCTCCACTCAAAAACCACCAACCGACTCTGCTTTTTCCAATGATGCATCCCAAATCCCAAACTTGAACAACTTCTTTCTCATTCATCATTCTTTGTTTTTTTCGTCTTCTTGTTGTTTTTGTTGCTGTTCTCTGAGCACCAACGTCTTTCTTCCGCTTCCATCCTTCACACTTTTTGATACCCTTTCCCCCTTTCCCCCTCTCCCCTCCACATCTTGTTCAAACAAGCACACAAAAACAATGTCGTCGTCGCACTTTGTCGTTGGCGGTGTTCCAGAGCACTTTAACGCGCCCTTCCATCTCGGCATGAAGGACGGCACGTTTGCACGCCATGGCGTCACGCTCGACTTTGTGGACTGTCTCGGCGGCACTGGCGAGGTAACCTTTCCTCACATCTCGCTGTCTTGTTCCTGTTCTCCCTGTTGTTGTCTCTCTCTCCCCACCTCAGCATTGCTGATCTCGACTTTGGTGCCCCTCGCCATCCCACGCTCAATGTCGCGGCTCATTGACGTTCTTCTCCCGCTCACTTTTCTCTTCCTTCCTTTTTGCTTTCTTCTCCACCTCTCTCCCGTCATCAGATGACCACCAAGCTCAACAACGGTGAACTCGATGTCGCAGTTGCACTCACGGAAGGCCTCATTGCTGGTAAGTTCAATCTCCGTGGTGGGCTTTGTCATTATTCTCCGGCTAATGAACGATTCTTTTTTTTTTTTTTTTTTTTTTTTTTTTTTTTTTTTTTTTTTTTTTTTTCCCTTGGCTTCTCTTTCTTTCATCTGTTTCTTTCTTTTCCATGTTATTTTTTGCTGATCTTCCTCTTCTTGTTCTCGTCCCTATCGATTTTGCTGTTCTTATTCCACCAATGTGTCTGTCTTTGTTGTTGTTGTTGTTGTGGGCTCACGTTTCATGTTTCCATTTCCACACAAAACGCACGCACACACGCAGCCATCGCGAAGGGCGAGGCGCGCTTCAAACTCGCAGCAGAGTATTGCCGATCACCGCTCATCTGGGCCGTGTCGACGGGGGCCAACAGCGAGGTCAAGTCTGTGGCTGATCTGGATGGCAAGACGTTTGGCATTTCCCGGTTTGGCAGCGGCTCGCACATCATGGCCATTGTGCTGGCCAAGAACAACGGCTTTGTCCAAGACAACCATTGGCGCGTGCTCCGCAACTTCCAGGGCCTTCGCGACGGCGTCAACACGAGCGAGGCCGACGCCTTCCTCTGGGAAAAGTTCACCACCAAGCCCTTCCACGACACGCGCGAAGTTGTCAAGGTTGGCGAGATTGTCACCCCGTGGCCCGCCTTTATGGTTGCCGTCAGCGACGCTGCGCTTCAACGGGAGGGCGCCACTGAGAAGCTCGCTGCCCTCTTCCGCGGCATCCAGGAGAGCTGCGCCAACTTTGCGCGCAACGACGACGGCGCCTCGGTTCAGTATGTCGCCGACAAGTACGGCAACACCCTGGACGACGCCGCCAAGTGGTTTTCGGCTGTCGAGTTTTCACAAGACGGCGCGCTCTCCTCCGCCGTCCTCACCAATGTTGTTTCCATTCTCAAGGAGGCGGATGTGCTGACGGCTGACATTCATGCGCCACCCCAAGCGCTTGTTGCACCAGCTCTCGCGCGCATCATCTAAAGACAAGGACAGAGAGAGAGAGAGAGAGAGAGAGAGAGAGTTTTTCTCGCTTTTCTGTCTGCGACTGGTGCGCACTGCCATTTTTCCTCTTTTTGTCGTTCTTTGCTTTTTTTTTTTTGGCTTTCCTCTTGTTCTGTCCACTTCTGATCAGCATCATTGGACCTCTACACGCTTTCAGAAACCCCCCATTGTGGGTTTTGGGCCATAGAGTGTTTGTTGAGTTGGTTGGAAACTTGCTTCCTCTTCTCGTTTTTTTTTTTTCTTCTTTTTCTTTTCTTTTCGTTCGTTTCTTGTTCATCTTCGATCTTTCCCTCCCGTTAATGCTACCCTCCTTTCGGGTTTGCTTGGTCGTGTGACAATACGTTGCCCCGACCATGCTTCCTGTCATCCATAATCAGCAGAGTGCTCGTCTCTGCTCATTCTTAGTGAATCTCCAAGGGACTGCAGTGTAACGGAAGCCAAGCGGCCACATTTTTTTTTTTGCTTTGTTGCTCATTGCACATTTTCATGTCTTTGTTCAACGAGCTTCAAATCTTTCTATTGTGGCGAAAACTCTGATGCCGCTTTTGTCGGCGATTCGGAGCCGCTTGACTTGTTCACTGCTCGTTTCCTTTGTTGCTTTTTTTTTTTTTGTGGTTGTTGCTGTCTGTTGTGTGAATCTCTTGCGACTTGTTGCTGTTGTTGTTGCCTCTCCAATGTAATTCATTCTTATCGCATTCTCGAGTTGCACTTGCGACTGAACTGGCATAAACAATTGACGGGGGGTTTGAAATGCGTGAATCATTCATTCAAGATAGATTGACCTAGATCTTCACGCCAAAATTCGATTCAAAAGGCGCTTCTTGTTTTGGACAGAAGGTCATTCTTTGCTTTTTTACCTGTTTTCTTTCTCTGTTCTTTTTTTTTTCTTTTCCACATTTTGTAAGTGTGCTGCTCCCTCGGGACAAAAGCGCCATTCTGCTCGATTCCTCACCACCCCCAGCAACACCACCTCGAAAAGCACCTCTGCACTGTCGCTGGACGGAGTGTGGAAGGATGGCAAAGAGCACTGGGTCTGCCTAAAGAGCGTGCATTGTCGAAATTCGACAACGGTGCGTGCTGGGGCGTGCTCGCAATGTCATAATTATTGAAAAAAAAAGCAGCGTGGGTTGAAACTGTTGGTTATTTTGATGATTTTGGTGTATTTTTTGTTGGTCGACTTGCTCCGCGAGGAGCAGCTCGGACACTCCTCCCATCCCACCAACCCGGCCCCCTCTTGTTTTGTCTACAAGCACCGCTACATTGCTTGCTGGCGTTTGCGCCAAAGGTCGCATGCAAGCTGCTTGTTGCGCCATCGCCCCAGCAACCACCCAACATAAATAATCAACAGCAAAAAAAAAAAAAAAAAAACCCCCTTCGAGCGATCGAAAAATTAAAAAAAGCACGCCCACCATCTTTTTCATTTTCAACCCTCCATCTTTTTTGTTTTCCTTTTTTCTTTCTTTTTGGACTTTAAAGTATTTTGCCCTAGACTCATTGCGCCGTTTCGCAAATCACTTGTACCATCCAACTTGCAGAATCTACCATGCGTCTCTCTTCCAGCGTGCTGCTTTTGGCCGCTCTCCTCGGTCTCTTGGCCGCTTCTTCGACCGCCCAAGTGGTTACCTCTGGCACTGCCACCCCGACCTCGGTCGAGTGCACCAGCGGCTTCATCCGTGATCAATGCACCGGCACCTGCAAGTCTGTTACCGACCCTTCTATTGACGAGGACCTTGACTGCCAAGGCGTCTGCTTTGCCTCCCCCAAGGCTTTCATCAACTCTTGCGGAAACTGCGTTGGCGGCACGACTGGCCTCCCCGACGACGAAGGCGTAAACTGCGCTGGCACTTGCGATACTTTGTATGCCACCGACGTTTGCGGCATTTGCGCGCCCGTCGATCTCCTTGACATTGACAAGCCGTACATTGACTGCATGGGCACTTGCTTCGGCTCCTACTCTTATGACGAGTGCGGCTCCTGCACCAGCTCCGAAAACCCTGCCGGTCCCCTGCCCAACTATCAGCGTGATGCTTGCGGCGTCTGCTTTGGCAACAATGAGACCTGCACTGACTGCTTTGACGTCGTCAACGGCGGCGCTGTTCGCGACAACTGCGACGTCTGCGGTGGCGATGACAGCACCTGCATGACGACCACCCTCGTCACCCCCGCCGCTGTTCCCCTCCTCGCCTCTGGCACCCGCTACACTTTCGCCGTGTCTGGTGCTGGCTTTGCCGCCAATCCTTCCGCCCTTTGCCAGCTGACTGGTCCTTCCCCTTCCGTGGCCGTCGCCACCTTCGCTGGTACCGTCCTCTCTGGCTCGTCGGCTCTTTGCGAGGCCCCCTTCAGCTCCGAGCTCGGCGTTGGCTCTTACGAGGTCCGCATTTTTGCTGAGAACGGTGCCTACACCGTCCCCTCCGCCACCGTCTACCTGTACCCTTCCGACCTGGCCTTCTCGACCACCAACAACAACGACTACGACGGCAGTGCCATCACCGTCACGGCCACCGCCGGCAGCATCCCCACGGACTTGGCCCCGTCCGTTCGCTTCACCGACAGCGATACTCCCGCGCTCTACGCTGCTCAGACCCTTGTTGCCGACTCGTTCGATGCTTCCTCGATCCAGGTTGCCGCGCCCACCACCACCACCACCTCGGTCAAGTTTGCTCTGCACGTCACTTTCAACGGTGTTGACTTCATCCCTGTTGCCAACAACATCATTTTCCGCGCTGCTGCCCCCGTCGTCTCGTCTGCCGTTTGGACCAACACTGGCTCTGGTGTTCAAGTCGCCTTCGCAGCGCCCGGCATCCACTCGATTCCCACCACCACCTGCTCGTCGTACTTTACCTCGACCACTCTTGGCAACGGCGCGACTTGCGTTCTCACCACCGCGACGACTCTCACCATTTCCTTCTCTGCCGACAACTCGTTCGCCACTACCGAAAACCTCATCCCTGTTGCTGGCGCCATCGTCGCTTACGACCAGCGTTACACCAAGCCCCTCACCACCGCCATCACCACCACTGCGCCCGTGGCCCCTGTCGCGCCGGCTGTGACCCTGCTCGGCAACACCCTTGTCGGTCAGTGCAACGACCTCACCCTCACCTGGTCCAGCTTGGCCAGCAATGTGGGCTTTGCTTGGGAAGTCACCGACTTGAACGGCATTGACGGCTCCACCACCCTGGTCGATTACCTGACCGCCAACACTGTTGTCGGCAGCGGTCTTCTCGTTGTTCCCCGTGCTCAGCTTACCAGCGGCGCTCGCTATTCCATCAAGTTCAGCCTGACCTTCTTCACCGCTTCCAGCAGCAGCACTCACGTTGTCGACATCACCGTTGACCAGATCCCCACCGCGACCATCACTTCGCTTTCTGGCCTCAACCTCGCTCGTGGCAACCAGAACAAGTTCCAGGTTTCTGTTGCCTTCCCCTCTTGCGTTCCTTCCCAGGCTATGACCTACGCATGGACTCTGTCCGACGCCACTCTCAACATTGAGTTCGACTTGGCTGCTCTCTCGATTCCCCACGACCTGCAGGTGATCACCTTCCCCCCGTTCACCTTCGTGCCCGGCCACCAGTACCTCCTTTCCGTCGCCGCCACCGTTGTTTCCTCCGGCGTTGTTGCCTCCGTCTCTGGCATGCCGTTCTCTGCCATTCCCCCGCGTATCTCCGCTGACGTCGTCGCCCCTGCCCTCGTTGACGCCTCGGGCTCCATCTCGGTTGTCGTTTCCTGCAGCGATGTTGACCAGACTTCTGGCGCTTGCAACTACGCCGTCAACTGCTTGGACAATGCCGGTGTTGTTTGCCACGACAAGCTCGGCGCCAAGCTCGTTCCCACTCTTGTTTCCACCGACAATGTGAACAACATTGCCACCTTCAGCATCAACCTGAACAACGCGTACGCTGGCGGTGTCAGCCTTGCCATTTCCGCCCTGGTGACCAAGAACGGTGCTTCCGCCGCTTCGCTCACCAGCAACGTCAACATTCGCAAGCCTGCCAACCCTTCCATCACCATCAAGTACGTTCTCCCGACCACCGCCACCCTGTCGTCCACCGATTCCCTTCAAGCTGACGCCTCCCATACTGGCGACTCGCTCGTCTGGACCACTGCCGCCTGCGTTGGCTGCAACACCATCCCCAACATTGCCGCTGTTGCCTGCACCACCACCACCCCCACTGGCCTTTGCGTTCCCCCTTCGGCCCTTGTTCCTGGCGGTCTCTACCAGTTTGTTGCCACCAGCACCAATGCTGCTGGTTCGTCCTCGGTCTCCTTCACCCGCCGCGTCGCCCCCGTGCCGTTCGGCGGCAGCGTCAAGTACGTTTGCACGATGAAGTCCGCAACCATCCGCTCTTGCAACATTATCTTCTCGCAGTGGAAGGATGCCTCTGGCACCAACGCCGTTTACTACAAGGTTTTCCGCGGCCAGACCCTCGTTGGTAGCGCGTCCAACGTCCACCTCGGCAACCGCAAGGCTTCCCTGTCCGACTCGGTCGCTTGCAACATTTATGATGCCTACACCAACTCGTTCACCAGCATCACTGTCAACATCCCCGCCGTCACCCGTCGCAGCGTCTTGCGTCGCGATGCCATCAGCGACAACAACGACAACGCTGACATTCTTGCGCTCTCCCTTGACGAAGCTGACGATCTCCTCGAGTCCTCCCAGTTCTCTGATGCCCTTTCCCTCGTCTCTGGCGCCTCGGCTGACTACTACTCGTCCTACGTGCCCGGCCTCGGCTGCTCCGATCTCGCCTCGTCGATCGCTGCTGCCGAGCGTGTTGTCGACATTCTCGGTGACATTGTTCCCTCCATCACCTTCGACCACGACGCTGCCACCTACGACCTGTACGCTCTTGGCTCTGCCCCCAACCTTCTCTACGGTTGCTTGTCCTCCGTCGTCCAGATCGATCTCGAGAACGCCGTGGAGACTCGCCTCCAGGCGACCACCTCCAACGCCTTTGTTGTTTCCACCAACAGCCCTTCCGCCAGCGCGATTGACAACGACCTTGCTGGCCGTCTGTTTGATTTCGCCACTGCCTTCGACATTCCCAGCTCGTACTTTGCTGGCATTGTCCGCATGATCAGCAAGGGCGCTGCCCTTACCTATGCTGGCAACATTGGCTCTGTCTCCAAGATTGTTTCCACTGATGGCACCCTTCAGTTCAGCAGCGCTGGCGCCGTCTTCACTGCTGGCACCAACACTGGTCCCCTGTCTCTTTCCGCCATTGACTCTGGCGATTCCCCGATCGGCAGCGTCAACCTTGCCTTCTCTGCCCTCGACACCATCTACCCCGGTGCTTGCG